TTTTTTTCTTTCTGACAATCTTTGCATTTTTTTTTTAATCCAAATTTTTCCTGACAGCCTTTGTACTTTTTTTAAAATAAAAAAGTACAAACAAAAAAAAAAAATCATCAATTTTTTTTTGTGTGTGTGTGAATGACCAACTTCGTATTCTTCATTTAACTAGTACTTTTATTTTCCAAAAAGGTTAATAAAGCCTTTTATTAGCAACAAAGTCACCGAACACCCAGTTAATAAAACAAGTACTGAATAAACAAATTAATAAAGAGCATGTAAAGTTGCCTCTACGATTTTGATGTATTTATATATATTTTTATATGCTTTGAACGAGTGATTCTTAATGTGATCTACTTAATTCAGAATTCTTTGATTTCAATAGGCATTTATTTGCTTTAATAAAAATCCTTATTTTTATTAAAAATTTAAATCCTTATTGAATATTGATTATTAATTAAATATATATTACTTGTTTCTTTGTTATGAGTTATGTTCAGCAATTAATATATATTGCTGTTGAATTAACAAACATAAAAAAATTAATAAAAATCCAAATTAATTATATGAATATTATTTACTTGAAAATTTTATTGTAATATGTATAAAAATTTTCTCTAACAAGTTAAAAATATAAATATTATGCAAATTAAATTCTTTTATATGTAAATGTTTTTATCTGTTTAAGATCTCATTTTTGTTGGTACTAAATCTTACTCTCGATTTTTATTTTACAAATTTTCTTTCCCCAATTCAATCATTTTAAAAAAAAATAAATATATTTTTTTTACGTATCTCCATTTATTAAAAGAAAAATATAAAAAAAAATTCAATAATTTTTTTTTTATTATTTTTTTTTCAGTGTGTGCATAACCACCTACTTATTCTTTATATAGCTTGTCCTTTTTATTACCAAAAAGGTTAATGAATCCTTTCATTAACTACTATTGTATTAAATACTTTTTTTTTTAATTATGTATGTGGAATGATAAAGCTAAAAAAATAATAAAATGTTGATGTTAAAATTATATTAGTGAATGTTAACAATCATACTTCTATGATTTATAGATTTTGAAATAATATTAAATAAATTTATACATAGAATATTAAATTTTATTAAAAATAAGTTAAAATTTTTATTTAACTATATAGACATATAAGTTAGGAACTTGAGAATAATAGGAATATTGAATTAATATATTAGCGCTATTATGACATTAAAATTTGTATGAAATAATCTCCTTATTTCATAATATATATCATATTTACATAAGGATCATACATTTTCTATAGTAGATTATAATAGATAAAATTAGTAGATAACTCTATATAATCTCATTATTAATTTTATTTCTCTACACAACTAGAGAATATTTAACTACTATATTTTTGCATTAAACAAGTATCAGAGGATATATATTTTTCTTTTGAATAACTTATTGATATTTTAATTTTGTTTGTTATAATACCTTTTGTTTATTTTTGCTCTTATATATATTATTTATAAATATTGAAATTAAATATTTAATAATATTATAGTAGTTGCACATTTTCCTGTAATGTATACAATCATTCTTTAATTGGCCTTTTTCATAATAGGAGGCACACTTTTTAAGGGTAGAACTTTATTGTTAATAGTTCATCTTTCATATATTTTACTTATAGTATATACTGAAACTTGGTTCTTTAATATTAGCAGTAGCTTTAATTCTATAATCATTATAGATTTTATATCACTACAAAATATTTATCACATAGGAAACTTAGTGATGCAATATCTCAAGCATAATGTAGAACATGCATTATTAATCTTTTATAAAGATCATTAGTAACCTGGGTATTATATTTTTGTCAAAATATAGTTAACTCTTAGTATACATATTACAAATGATGATAAAAAATTTATAAATTTTATTTCATTTTATTTTTTTTTTAAGAATAATAAGTTTTAATATTCATACAGATTTTTTCTACTAAACAATTATGATATAAAAATCATAATTTATAAATCTAACAATACATTTTCATTCATCTATTTTTTTTTTAAATAATTATTTTAATAAATAAATAGCATATATAAGAATAAATTACATGTATCTTTTTTATATATTTTTGTTATCTATAATTTGTTTTCAAAATTAATGGTCCAATTACAATAATATTCTTTAGATATTTAAGTTTAAGTAAAATATTATATACTATGAAAATAGATATATTGTTATTAATTATATAAAATTAACATATTTAATGAAAACAAATATATTTATAAAAGATTTAAAGATTAATTATGTAAATCATAAATCCACTGAATTATATTCTTTTTGTCCAATGGATCCTCCTTGAATTGAATTGATTTTTACTTTTATACAAAAATAGTTTAATTTTATTTTGTTCCCTTTTGTAATTAAATAAAAAGTAAAACTTAGTAAATAATTTGAATTAATTTTGTATGCTTATATATACAGAGTTATAAAAAAAGAATTAATAAAATTTTTCTTATCTTTTCAAAAAATTTTTTTTTTTTTATGAACAAAAAAAATTTTTGTTTTTGCTCCGTTAAGATAATATAATATACCCAATGTTTTAAAAACTCGAAAGTACTAAACTTGCATGCATACTTGTTTTTTTATGTATTTGAAAAAAAAAATATAATACAGTCTTACGAATATATTTATCATTTAGGAACTACCTAGATAATTATTATATAAATCAAATAATGTATATTTTTTTTTGTACATTTAAATATTTTTTTAAGGTTTTGTAAAGGGATAGTAATATTTTTATTAATCATAATTTATTATAAGATTAGATGAAAACATAATAAGCCATAATGTAAAAATTAATTACATAAGAAATACATGAAATTATAACTAGCAAAAATAAAACAAAAATGTAAAAGTGACATTAATATAATTTTTTTCAAATCAAATGACTATAATGGAAATTATAAAATGTAACCTAGAGAAATGATTAAATATGAAAAATTTAAACACAATTTGTGCGAAATCATTAATTACTTTATTTACAAAAAAATAATGAAAATATGTAATAATTAAATTTTAACAAAAAAAAAAAAAAAAAAATAAACAAAAAAATAGTTCATAATAATTTTTAGTTTAATCAATGTTACTAATTCTATAATTGCATTATAGGACATGCTATAGTGAAAAAAATTTGATGATTTATATTAACTATGAAACCTGAAAATTAAAAACAATATAATGCAATATTTATATAAAAAATATTTGCACATATAAAATATCGAGAGAAAAACACGTTAATAATGGTTATGTTATTGTAAAATTTATGTTAATATCACAATATTAATAATTTTATCACATTACAATATATTAAAAATGAGGTTAAATTTAGAAATTATATAAATTTTAAAACAGTAAATAAAATTATTATAAAAATTATTTAAGATGTATTCTGTGAAAAAATTAAGTATATTGACTAAATTATAGTAAATTTAACTTAACATCATTAATTTAATAAATACTGAGATTACCTTATTTATTATATTTCACTAGGAATTTTAATAATCATTAAAATAAATAATTTCCAAAGAATTAAAGTGTCAGTAATAAAAACAAATAAACGTGCATTAATATTTCGTTAATTAAAAAATTATTTAACAAAAAAAAAAAAAGTTATAGTGAAAATTGAAAAAAAATAAAAATCACAAGAAAAAAACTTAATTTAAATAAAAGTAATGATTATACGATTTAATTTTATTTTAGACATTTACATATTAACAATTATATGTAAATAAAAAAAAAAAAAATAAAATTAATGTAAAGAACATTTCACAAATTTCTAATGAGAGAAATAGCTAGTTCTAGGATTTTTTTTCAAGTAAAATAAAAATTATGATATCTTTTAAATAAAAATTATTTATTTTAATTCTCAATATACATTCTACAAAATTAAAATCATGTCAATTTAGGGAAAAAATATAATCTACTTATTTATATATTTATTTATTTATCTATCTATCTATCTATCTATCTATCTATCTATCTATCTATCTATCTATCCATCTGTCTATCTATCTATCTATCTATCTATATTTACACATATACTTTTTCTTTTTTATTTTAAATTTCCTTTTTTTATTAAGAAACATAATTCTATACATGTACATTGTGAACATAATGATTTATAAAAAAAATTCTATAATTTATTTTCTGTTTTTTCTAGAATTTCACAATTTTTAAAACATGTTAATTTTTATGTATGTATAACTTTTATTTATCCAGTAGTGTATAACATTTTAATGTAACTTTTAAATTACAATTCTTTTTTTAATTTTATAAATTTTACAAATTTCACATAATTTTAAAAAAAAATTTTTTTTTTTTTTTTTTTTTTTTCTCTAACTTTTTAATTCAAATTTTTATTTTCCTAATAAACTCATTCAACAATGTGTAAAAATAAAACAAAATAGTACAGTATACTTCAAATAATATAAGTATTTGTAATTTATTTTTTGTACTACATTCACATTACAATTTTTAAAAAAAAGAATTATGTAAATTCATTTATTAAAATAATGTTTATAAAACTACATTAAATTTACTTAAATAAAAAATGCATTAAAAATATATTATTTTTATATTTTAGAAAATCAAGAAAAGAATGCTTAAATAAATATCACTTTAAATATGAAAATAATAAAAAATTGGATAACTTAATTTATTATCTTATTTACATTTTTAGGTAATATAATATATATGATTCAGTTTTTCATTATATTTGTTTTATCAATATTATACAGCAGATAAAAATGTTTTGGAAATGTTATCATATTTTTTAATTTTGACTTCATACATACATTAATATAGATCTTTGCCATGAGAAAAAACTTAAAAAATCCATAAACAATCCTAATTTGAGATAAGAAAACTTGTTACTTAATCCAAATATAGAAAAAAAAAGTAACAAAACACACTTTTATCATTACACAAAATCATAAAAGAAATTTTTCTTATAAATTTCTATATCCTATGTATGAAAATGAAAATAATCGAAATAACGTAAATAATAATATAAAAAAGCCAATATTTTTATATAATTATATATCATATGATAAATTAAGAAACCCTCCTATTAGTGAAAACTCGTCAAATTTCAGTTATATAAAAAAGAATAGTCTACATTTGTCTAAAACTCATAACAATAAAGAAAAAAAAAATAACTATGAAATTAATAAAATTGGAAGTTCTTTCATTCAAAAATAAAGTTTATAACAAACTGATCAGAATATTTTAAGAGACTATAATGACTTAGTTGAAAAAATGAATGATGATTTTAATAGAACAAAACGTTCTTATCTACTTATAGGTATCTAGTGGAACACAGAAGCGTATGTTAAAAAAGAAAAAAATTATTTTAAAAAACACGTCATTCCATTAATACGTGAATTTATTAAATGTGAAAAAGAAAACATAACTTTCTACGAAAAAACTAGAAAGACTATGAGAGAAGAACTTTACAATTTGTTATCTTTCAAAGATGATAATGATAAAAAGGACTTATATAATAAAAGTCTCCTTAATTTAAAAGCAAAAATACAGGAAAATCTACAAAAGGTAAATTCTAATAAAACTAAATGCGGAAAAAAAGAAGAAAATTCTCGTCATGGAGTAAACCATAGTTTGTGTAATGAATTCTGTAATTTCTTTGGATGTAATGGTATGACTTGCAATTATGTAAGTTATAAACATAAATTCAATGGATGTTATTATAATGCAAATATTTTTCATAGGATAGCTTTACATAATATATTACTTAAGAATACACCAAATAAAAGTAAAGATAAGAACTTTATAAGGGAAGTTGAAAATACAATAAGCAACATTACGTTGGCAGTAACCAAAGGAGAAAATATGATTAACAAAAAAGATAAACAATCACTAAATTTACTTATGGAGGAAATAATTGATATTAAGGAAGTTTATAAATACAATCAAAATCAAGAATTTTCTTATTTTGATAATTTTCAAGATGTTTACAATAGAGCACTTACAATAAGACTTGGTAAGGTATATAATGGATATGTTTTGACTAAAGAATTAAAAATTCATTAAGGATATTATTATTTTAAGTCATAGAATGATAATTCTTCACTGTCTTTTACTCAAAGTAACAAAAAATGTGATCAAATATTTGAGGGTTTGTTGGAAGAATTAAAGAAAAAAATTGATTAATTAGTTATTCCTAAAAATGTAGAAAGAGAAAAAGAACAAATTTTTTCGGATGCAAAAAATATCCATACTTCCACAAATGATATAACTGGTAATGAATTAGGAATATGAGAAAATACATTATCAAAATATAGTAATAAAGAAATTCCTACTATTATAAGTGAACTATCAAAATTAAAGGATAATAAACTTGTACTAAATAGTAGTTTTCAAGAAAAATTTAACTCAATAAATATAAAATACTCTGATATTACATCCAAGAAATCAGAGATAAATAATATAAAAAGCACATTTACATTAACTAAACAAAACAATTTTAGTAACGTCATGTCTGATATTTTAAATAAAAAAGAACAAATTGAGGACATCATAGCATTTGTAAATGATGAATTTAGTATAATAAAAAGAACTCATGAAGAATTACAGAGATTAAAAAATGAAATTAATGACAAAAAAGGCAAATTTAAAAAAAAAAAAGTAAATCTGCAAGAATTAAAAAAAAGAGAAGAAAAAATATCAAAAAGGTTATAGAAGAAATAAAAAGGCATTTAGGACATATAAAAGGAAAAAAAAAATAACTTAAAAAGTATTATAAACTTAAAAGAGAATGCAAAAAAGAATCTTCGCATTATTGAAACATTTATATATGTAACTTCTTTTAATGATAGTGAATATATTCAAAAAAAAAAATATGGACGGAAAAATTAACTCAGTTTTAAAAAAATTAATTGATAATTTAAAATTAGAAGAATTATTTGATAGATTATCAAAATTCTCAAATTAAAAAGAAATGTTAAATTATGAGAAATACAACTCTGAAAGACTTAGTAACATATTAAATAACACAAAGGAAAATTCTTTAGAACTAAATAAATTACATAGTAAAGCTACAACTATTGTAAATAAAGAAGTGGATCTCACAAAGAGTTCTATTGTAGAACTTAAGAATGATATAATAACGAAGTCAATCGAAGATTTATATTATAAAATGAATAATTCATTCGAAAATTATAAGAAAAAAAATAGTACGATCACTAAATATATTAGTGCTTACAAAAAAGAAAAAATTCTAAATTATAAAAGTAGTATGACAGATAAAAAAAATAAAATTATGAACAATTTAGATGAAAATATTGGTAATGGACTTCATGAAAATAATATCTCTGAAGAAAGTTTGGATTTTGAAAAAATAATTTCTGATAAGAAAAAAAATATAGAAAAGGAAATTAGTGATATTAGTATTATCATAAATACAATTAAAAAACAGATAGAATTATATGAAAAAATAGAAAAATATTTTACTTTGTCTAAAAAAAACAAAATTGTTAGTAATATTAAAGCATTAAAAGTACTAAATGATAAAGAAGATATAAATAATAAATTAACGTTTTTACAGAGAAAATATAATAATACAAATGATTCTGCAAATAATAGTATAAAAAATATTGAATTATTAAAAATAATTATACAAAATGTTGAAATATAAAGCAAAATTATAAGTGGTTAAGGTAGCTACAATACTTTACTTGATGAATTAAATAGGAGTATAATTAGTTTAAAAAATAAAATAGGAGAAGAAGTTACTTCAATCAATAATGAAAATATAATAGAAGAAAACATGAAAAATGAATTTTTAATTAAAATAAAAAGCAATGAAGGCGAAGTAGAAGATGTAATATTGAATATCAATGAGTTAATAGAAAATCTGAATAAAACACTGGTATCATAAAAAAAATTAAAGGAAAATATATGTATCTCTTCAAATAAAGAACATGCAAATAGTTATTTAGAAAATATTTCAATTCATGAATCTAGTTTAAAAGATATTACAGATAAAACAAGTAAAATAAAATTGTTAATTGATCTTTTGAATGCAAAAGTAGATAACACAAATTATATTAAAAATGATGAAATTTCTAATTTTATTTATAATATGACTATTAAATTACAAGAGAAAATTGATAATGAATCACAAATAAATATAGGAATTATAGAAGAATTAGAAAGTAGTATAGAAAGTTATAATTTTGAAAATGATATAGAAAAGGTTAAAAGAGATCATAATAAAGAAATGCTAAGAACAATCATACAGAGCTTTAGAGATTTAATGGATAAAGTTAAGATACAAGAAAATAATTTCAGAAACATACAGAAAGAATCACTTGATGATGTTGAAAAATCTAATGATAAAAAAATTTATATGAAAAATATTTATAAAAAAATGAAAGAGATATTAAGTAAATTTAGTAGTGAAAAAGAGGAATTAGTACTTTCAACAACAAATATGATTAAAAAAAAAGTAGAATATAAGAAAGAATTATTTCAATATGTTGTTAATGAAATTAATGATCAAAAAGAAAAAGCTGATATAGAAATAGCAACTATTGATGTATTTAAAAATAAAATTGATCAATTAATTGAAAACACAGAAAATATTACTTATGGTGAATTGGAAAGTTTTAATTATAATGATTACGTTAGTTCAACAAAAATAAATCAAGAAAAAATCAATGAATTGTTCATGGAATTTGATCCATTAAAAGAGGAGGGATCTAGTGACGTAACTGAAAATATAATTGATAATATCATAATAAAAGTTGAAGAAAAATTAAAAAATTTTTATGAAAGAAGTGGATAGCATATGTAGTGTATCAAAAGAAATGAAAAATATGGAAAGATTGTTAATGTTAAAAAATTTTAATAATATTATAGATAATATAAAATTTTTCTTCAATAAAGCTGAAAAAGAAAAAGAAATTGTAAATACAAAATAAAAAGAATTATAAAGTATAAAAAAAGAAATATTACTTGATTTTCAAAAAGAAAAGGGATTAAAAAATATGCTTTTGGATATGTTGATGAAACCACAGCTAATAAATATATAAAAGAAATTAGAACCATGAATGAGAGAATTATCACTAATAATGAAAATACAAATGATTTTTTAACAACCGCTAAAAACCATGAAGAACTGTGCTTACTTCATTATCATAATATAGAAAGAGGAAAAAATATAATAGATTATTTAAAGAATCATGATAATGAAGAAGAAAAAAAAATAACAAATAATTTATTAGTTGAAATAAAAAAATGCGCGAAGAAATCTAAAAATTATACCACTGAATCTAGTGAATATATTAACAAAATTAAAAGTAATTACGAAAGTCCATGTAAATATCAAATAAATATGAATAATATTTTAAACGAATCTCTGGTTTTAGTAGAAAAAAATAAAGTTGAAATGAAAAAAAAAGACATAAAAAAAATATTAGTAGAAATTCAAAGTGAATATTATAATATTTAAAGTCTAATAAAAAAATTGGTGGGAAGATTAAATAGTTCTTTTATTAATTGGGTGTTTGGTGGCTTTGCTAGAGTACTGAACAAACAAATTAATAAAGAGCATGTAGAGTTGCCTCTACGGTTTTGATATATTTATATATATTTTTAAAGGTTTTGAACGAGTGATTCTTAATTATGTGATTTACTTCGTTCAACATTCTTTAATTTCAATAGGCACTTATTTACTTTAATATATATCTTTGTTTTTATTAAAAAAATATTATATCCTTATTGAATATTGATTATTAATTAAATGTATATTGCTTGTTTCTTTGTTATGAGTTATATTAAGCAATTTAAATATATTGCTGTTAAATTAACAAACATAAAACAATTAGTGAAATTACAAAAAAAATTATATGAATATTAATTACATGAAAATTTCATTATTATATGTATAAAATTTTCTCTTACAAAAATTAAAAAAAAATATTTCGTCACACTAAAAGAAAAAATATTTTTTTTTTTTTTATGAATTTTTTTTTTTCTGTGTGTGCATGACCAACTACGTATTCTTCATATAACTAGTCCTTTTATTTTCAAAAAAGGTTAATAAAACCTTTTATTAACCATTGACAGAATGGTAGAAGTTCATTTTAGAGCAATGCAGTTACATGCAGGATAATTAAAAAGTATATAAAGAGATATATGTATGAGAACACTTATAATAACGTTTGCATGTATAGAAATAAAATACAAGATATTTTGTGGTTAAAAGAATATTTTCTTAAATTTAGCAGAACTATGTATAAAATAAATGATATTGTTAGTATATTTATAAAAAAACATTACGTATGCGTTTTTATTTTTAAAAAAAAAAAATTTTTTTTTGGCAGATAAATAAATATGATAATATTTATGGTTCTATATGAAAAATTACAAAGAAGTCTTAAAAAGCATAAATTTTATAACAAATATGTTAAGTTTATTATGAATTGATACATGTATAATATGAATATAAATATCTATATAAGTTAATTTTATAATAAAATGAATAAGTAGAAATCATTATGCATACTCCCTATTGACTATTTAAAGCATTATGAAAGTATTTAAAAAGAGTATTAATAGATAATAATAAAATTGAACATAAAATTACAAAACAAACAAATAAAAAAAAAAAAAATATATTTCATATATTTATTTTCTTTTGTGTGTATTTAAAATTATAAAAAAAAAAAAAATTTTATTTTTTTTTGCATTTTACTGCTCAGAAAACCTATGAAATTTTAATAAAAAATAAATGGCAATAATTTTATTTTTTTCTTTAATTTTTTAATAGAAAAAAAAAATTTCATCTTAAAAACAAGAATAATAATTTTTTTTTTTTTGGTGAAGCAATGGGTATTATTCTTTTTTGCATAAAAGATTAAATAATATAACGTTAGATATTACATTTAAATTGCCTAGATTAGCTAAAACAATTAATAATATAGTTAAAATTTAATATTAATAAAAATAAATTATTAATGTAATGATTTAATTTATTCTAAATAAAATAATTATAGTTATATCTAGACTCTACTTTATTTGTTGAACATTAGAAAATTTATTATACAAGAAATTAATAAATGAATATTCTAACAAATTTATTGAATGGGTAAATTAATAAATCAAATAACTAAACATATAACAATGCTTAAGTTTATTTCTTAACAACCATCCAAAAAGTTCAATAATTCTATTTATCACTTCTAAGTTTTTTTCTATTGTTTTACGTAATTTTTCAGTTTCTTCACAACTATTTTTCTCCCCTATACTCTATTTATAAATTTTGCTTTTTTATTAATTATCATCATTCTTTTATTAATAAATTAGTGTTGTAAAATTTCCTTATTATTTTTTTCTAACCACCTCCTATGAATATCTTCACAGTGTTTTTTCCATATAATTTTTTGCATTTCTAACATGGGATTTTTAATTCTTTTCTCATTCTTTTTTTCTATAATATCTTCATATATGTCTTTTATGTATTTTTTTTCCTTGTTATTCATTTCCAACATTAACTCTATAAACCATTTTTTCTTTTTCCATTTTTCTATTTCCACTTTTTCAATATCTAATATAGCATTCCTACTTCTTTTTTTTTTTATTTCCAATATGATAACATTTTCATCTAAATTTTCTTGTATTTTCAACTCTTTCATCATTGTTTTAAAAAAAAATTCTTTTTCTTTTTGCCGTTCTTCCTTCACACATTCTTCTAATAGTGTCATATGTATTTCTATCAAAACTTTTTGTATCAATTTTTCCTTTTTTCTATATTTCTCTATTTCTTTATCTCCTTCTTGTTTCAATTCTACTATATTTTCATGAATTTCCTTCTCTTTTTTCGTATCATTTTTAGTTGTTCCTTTCATAAACTCTTCTTCTTTTTCATATTCTCCTAATATATCATTAAACCATTCCTCCTCGCTATGTAGTATAAACCACATTCTTTGTTTTTTTAGCCACTGTTTCCATATTCTTTTTTGTTTCTCTAGCATAGGATTATTTCCTGCTTCTATTTCTGATATTTCTGATTCTTTTGTTAATTCATCAAACTTTTCCTGTTCTTTTCCCCATTCTTTTTTCAAATTAATAAACCATTCTTCATTTATCCATTTCTCTGACATTCTTTTGTTTCTTTGTACCCATTTTTTCCATAAAAGTTTTTGTTTCTCAATCATTAATGTAGTAATGTCTTCTTCCCCTTCTCTTATGATGGCTAAATCATTTTCTGTTATTTTCGGATATTTTTCCTTATCTTCTTCTATAAATTCTTCTAAACAGATTTCTAAAAATTTACCTCTATTCAATAACCAATCCTCCTTTCTACATTCCTCCAATATTACCATATATATTTCTATTAAAGTCTTCCATTTTAATTTTTTTTTGTTTATTATAGAATTATTCATTTCATATAATTCCTCTAAATTATTACTTTCATATTTTCTCATTTTACCTTCCTCCTTTTTATTAATCTCTGTTATTGATTCACCTCTTTCTATGGTTTTTTCATTTTCTTTTTCTATACTATTTTCATAAATTCTACTTTTATATTCTTTCTCTTCATTTNACAGGTTTCTAAAAATTTTCCTTTATTCAATAACCACTCCTCTTTTCTACATTCCTCCAATATTACCATATATATTTCTATTAAAGTCTTCCATTTTAATTTTTTTTTGTTTATTATAGAATTATTCATTTCATATAATTCCTCTAAATTATTACTTTCATATTTTCTCATTTTACCTTCCTCCTTTTTATTAATCTCTGATATTGATTCACCTGTTTCTAGGGTTTTTTCATTTTCTTTTTCTATAATATTTTCATAAATTCTACTTTTATATTCTTTCTCTTCATTTTCATATTCATTAACTAACTTTGTAAACCATTCTTCATTGTTATCTTCTTCTTTCCACTTTTTACAAATATTTTCACAATGTTTTTTCCATATATTTCTTTTTCTTTCTAAGACAACATCTATTATTATTTTTTTATTCTTTTTTACTAAAATTTCTTCATTTGTCTCCATCATATATTTTTCTTCATCATTTTTCCATTCTAACATTAACTCAATAAACCATTTTTCTCTTTTCCATTTTTCTATTTCCTCTTTTTTTTTTTCTGATATAACATTCCTACTTCTTTCTCTCTCTATTTTATCTAATATGTTTGTTTCATCGTCCAAATCATTATATTTTTTTATCTCTATAATGTTTGTTTTATAAAATTCTTCTTCTTTTTCCCACTCTTCTTTCATACATTCCTCTAATACCATCATATAAATATCTAACAAAATTCTCCTTTCCAAATTTTTGTTCATTTCACTTTTATCTATTACATTGTTTCTTTCTTTATCTATTTTTTCTTCCTTTATATTTTCATGAATTTCTTCTTTTTCATATTCTTCTAACAATTTTATAAACCAATTCTGATTTTTGTATTCGTATGAATGCTCTATTTGCCATTCTATCCATTTCTTCCATATTTTTTTTTTTTTATCTAGCATAAAATTATTTACTCCCATTTCTGTCATTTTTTCAATTTCATATTCTTCTAAATATTCTAAGTATTTTTCTTGTTCTTGTTTCCATTCTTTCTTCAAAATAATAAACCACTTTTCATTTTTATATTTATCTAATATACTACTATTTTTATCTATTATATCGGTACTATTTTCTTCTTTTATTTTCATTTCAAAATTATTTCCCATATCTTTTAAATTAGAATTTTCTCCATCTTTTTGGATCTCTTCTAAACAAATATCAATAAATTCGGTTTTATTCAATTTCCATTCCTCTTTTTTATATTCTAGTAATGCATTCATATGTATATCTACCCATGAATTCCAATTACATACATCATTCTCGATTGTTGTTTTATTTCCTAAATTTTTCTTTTCAACTTCACATGTAGATTTTTCCTTATGCGAATTTATTTCATTTGCTTTTTCCTCATTTAATGTGCCATTCCTAATATACCCTACAACATGAATAGGATTTTCTTCTAATCTATTTTTATTTAATTCATCTTTAATTTCATTTGTAGGATTATTTTCATTTAGTTTTTCTCTCAATATAAATTCATTTTCATGCTTCTTTGATACTTCTACAGCTTCACGAATGCACTTATTTTCATTTTCCATATGCATTCCTTCACGAGGTTTATATTTCTTCATATGTTCATACTTCAAATATTTTTCATTTTCCATATACATTCCTTTATGTGCTTTGGATTTCTTCACTTGTTTATACTTTAAATCTTTTCGATTTTTCAAACTCATATCACATTGTGGTATTTCCTTTTCATGGTGTAAGAATGAATAATTTTGATTATTTATTGGTTCATTCTTTGTATTATTTGTATCCATTAGCAACGGTTCCCTTGTTATTTTCTTAATCTTTTTTCTTGCTTTTTTTTTTTTTGACTTCCTATTACGAATCCAAGATCCAATAGGAGTACACTATAATAAAAATTAAAAAATAAAAAATTATGAAAATTCTTCATTAATGTAATTATGATTTTAAATATATAAGTTTTTGCAATTTTAAATGTTAATTTTGTCTTACTTTACAAATAAGAACCAAAAGAAAAATAATTCCCAAAATAAATATACCTACTGGAACCATTGGTATTAGTAAATTAACTTTAGGTGTAACCGTAGGCATAACATCGGTAGGATTATTTGATGGGTTTGGCGTCGAAAAATTATTTGAAATAGTCGCATTTGGACTTTGTGAAAAATTTCCAGTATTATTTTCAAGTATATATTGTTGAGCCTGTATAAGAGGGGCCTGTGTATTTTGTAGGTTCTGCAGCTGGATACTATCTGTCTGATTTGAAGTTAAATTGTTATTTGTTGGAGGAAGAAAAGCGGTCGGAGTTGTGAGAATAGGTGTTTTATCAAGAGAATACGAATGTAGAGTTGGAGATATAATATCAGAAGTAGGAGATGTAGTGTTAGTTGCAGGAGATGCAATTCTGTTTGTAGAAGGTTCATTGGTATTTGTTGAAAAAGGTGTAGAACTATCTGATAAAGGTGATGTAGCAGTAATATTAGTATCTACAGCAGTAGGTTGTATAGATCTATCTTTAAAAGATTCAGTTATACTTGTGGGATTAACAACACCAGGCATAGAGGGTTTAGGTGTAATTATAGAAGCTTCAGGTCTATTTTTGGATTCATAATTAATTGTAGAAGTATTCATATCATCTCTTGGAGAATCATGAATAATAGAAGCTATAGTTTTAGAAGAAATTGATGATGTAGTTGCAGAAGGTTTATTTTCAGGGGAAAAAGAAGATGTAGCAGCAGAATTTGTAGTATTGCTCGCAGAGGATTCAATATTAGTTGACGAATCTGTAGCGTTAAATGATGATGAAGATATTTGACCATTTATAGCAGAGTCAATTGTAGATGTCGAATGTTCTGTGTTATCTGTTGGAAATAAAGAATTACTTGTGGTAGGCAAAGTGGTGATCATAGGAGTAGATGAAGTTAGTGGAGGTGTAGAGCTATCTGTAGGAGTTCCAGTTATAGTTCTAAGAGAAGGTTCAACCTCGAGAGAAGGTAAAGGTTTAATTATAGGAGATTCAGTGTCATTTGTAACAGATTTATAGCCACGTGTAGATATAATTTCATTTACAGAAGTTTCAGTTTCATTAAAAGGTAAAGATGAAGTTTTAGGATGTGAAGTGTATGTTTTAGAAGGTGTAATGCTATTTGTATGTAATTCAGTATTAATGGAAATACCTGTAGTGTTAGATATTGAAGAAGATGCATAATCATTTAAAGAAGCGTTAACTGTAGGGGTAGAAGAAGATAATAGCATTGTAAATTCATCTGTAGAAGTAGTTATAGTTGAATGTGGAGGTAAAATTTTAATTGTAGGAGATATTGCAGTATCTGGAGAAGGTGCATATGAGGTTGTTTGAGATATAGTATTAGTAATAGAAGGTATTACATTATTTGGAATTAAAGAATTGGATTCTGTTGAGTCTATTGGAGAAATTGTGGTTGAAGCTTCTAAATCAATTTGATCTGTAGTAACGGATGGTACTGAGGTGTCGCTTGCTAATATATTTTCAGAGGAATTTCTACCATTTACGTTATTAACACTAGTCGTATTGCCACCCAATGAACCTGTAGTAGTATCATTATCCAATACATTAGGAGCTACAGTTGTAGGTTGTACGTTATCTGGTAATGCACTTGTATTATATGTATTTTCGTTAGGTTGTTTATGATTCTTTTTTGATAAAAGCCAAGATAAATCATATGGATTATTTGAATTTTCTTGCTCTTTAATTTGATAAATAAATTTTGTCATATTACATTGATTTTTAGTATCCTCTAACACAGTAGTTTCTAATTGAATACTATGTTGATTCCATCTTGTAATAGTATCATTTACATATATTGCATCTTCATATAATTCATTGGCCGCCATTTTAATAAATTGTTTTCCTCTCTTATATATATACATACTCCACTTTCCACAATTAAGTGTAGAATTGTTATTTTCATACATTCTGTAATAGTAATCAGATATATCATTAGTAATATTATGAAATATAATCTGTCTATCTTCAATAAGTTTAGCTTTAGTAGTACTATAAATATCTTCATTGAGATTTTCGTACGTTAATAATGGGGTTACTGGTAGATCATTATTTTCATAAGGTCTAGTGCATTTATCATTTTTATTCAAAATAGCACAATAATTAAACGTGGTTGCATTACACGTTGATTTTGTTTTTTCATCTATACTTGTTTCAAAAGATTTTTGTTTCTCATTCCATTTTTCAACAACACAGGAGATATTATAATTTTCTTTTTCATTTAATAGCAAATTAACATAGTCCAGTCCTCTCCAATTTATGTATGAGGATGCCTTTAGACATTTTTCTGTGTCATTCGTAATATTATTGTCTTCAAGATAAAATTGAAGTTCATTACGAGTATCATCCATAAATGATTGAATTTCTGTATTGAGCTTAATTGTATCATTAGTTAAATTACCTTTGTTTTCTATTGTAGCATTTTTTTGATTTAACATGCAAGAAATTTCTTCTAATTGTGATAATAATCTTGCATTTTTTGAGGTTGAGTTTTTTTTCATGGCTGTTGTTTCCCAACAAGGTTTTCTTAAAATATTCTGTAATAACATTTAAAAATTGATTTATTAAAAAAAATAAATTTTTATATTTATAATATATAAAAGCAAAAATTTGAGCAAGAGAAAAAAGTAATATATATTATATACATTTATTTTACATTTAAATTTTATCATACATTAAAAAGATATTCATTAATCCAATTAAAGAAAAATAATATAATTTGACTAAAAAATTGAATACTACTATTTTTGTTATTTCGCAGTACCATTGTATACATAAATCACATTAAGAAATTGTTACATTTTCTATATAAAAATAACAACACTTGTGCTTATGTAATAACTATATCATAAATTTGTTTATATGTGAAATTGTCATTTTATGTAATATAAAATAACAATTCGGAGGAGAAGAAATTTTTTATTTGCTATTTATGTAAATTATTAAATTATTGTAATTTTCATATAATAATGATGTAATTAATTTTTAAAAAAAATGAAAAATTGTGGTAAATAAAATATAAACTTAATTTATAAGATTAACTTTAAGAAAAAAAAAAAAAAAAAAAAGAAAACAATAGTTAAAGTAAAGCATTATATTATACTATGAAATTTATATGAAAAAAAGAAATCATGTTAAGGATTTCTTATGAATTTTCTTAAAATTTTTATATAATTATATGAATATGAATATAATTTTTAAATAATGATACAATTATTTATATTTGATATTTTGAATAAATAATTTAATTATTATATAACATTTTTATAGAAAATTTTTTAGAAAATGAAATTTGAACAGTTGAAGAAGTAAAATTTTATAAGTGGTATATGGAATTTATATATAAATAAAATAATGTTCTTAATAATTTATAATTATTTTTTTAAATGATCTAATTGATACTTTCATAAAATATAAAATAATTAAAAAAAAAATAAATAAAATATATATATATAAATTCTAAAATCAGCAACTACAATATACTATTTTAGCTATTTATATATACTTTAATAAATAAATTATATTATGTTTAATAGAAGAAATATTTACAATTAAGAAAAGCTACATTATTTATTATTAAATTATTAAATTTTAAACATTGATAAAACTACTCAAATTTTCTTTATTTTAATATTTAAATTTTTAGTGATAAATAAGTGCACTATAATTTAGTTTTATTTGTATAGAAATATATGTATTAAAAAAAAAAAAAAAAAATTAGTTTATGTTAGTGGGTAATGCACTTTATTTTTTTCGTTAAAATTACATTAAACTTTTTATTTTTTTATTAATTTTTATTTGGTAATATATATATATATATCTATAACATTATTTGAGGAAATATTTTTTATTATTTTAGGATTTTTTATTATAAACAAAAATAAACATAAATTATTTTTTGGTTATTTTTTTTACAATTATTTCTCATAATCTTTTTACGAGATTAAAATAACAATAGTTTAGAAACAAAAATTTTTTAGAAAAAAGATATTTATATCGAAAAATAAAGATGATTGAAAATATGAGTCGAATTCAAGAGACTGAATGATTTTTCTTTATAAAAAAAAAAAAATAAAAAAAAAAATAAAGAAAAATAAAATTTATTATTTTATTCAAATTTTTTTTTTTTATATATTTGTACCCTTACAAGATAAATTACAATAGATAATTTATTGAAAAAATCCGTGAGAAAAGTAAATTTATTTTATTTTTATTAGTATTTTATTAGATTTTTATAAGAGTTGATTATTTTTTTATGGGAATATTAAAGATGAAACATATTTTTTTATGAATATTTATAATTATATTTATAAATTTTAATTATTAAAAATTTAATTATTATTTAAAATTTTTTATAATTTTTGTTATTTTTATTTATTTATATTATTAAGTTGATATTATGGTTTATTAATTGGGTGTTCGGTGACTTTTCTAGAGTACTGAAAAAACAAAATTAATAAAGAGCATGTACAGTTGCCTCTATGGTTTTGATGTATTTATATATATTTTTAAATGCTTTGAACGAGTGATTCTTAATTATGTGATTTACTTTGTTCAGCATTCTTTAATTTCAATAGGCACTTATTTACTTTAATATAAAACCTTATTTTTATTAAAAATTTAAATCCTTATTGAACATTAATTATTAATTAATTGTAAATTACTTGTTTCTTTGTTATGAATTACATTCAGCAATTAATATATATTGCTTTTGAATTAACAAACATAAACAATTATTGACAAATACAAAAAATTATATAAATATTAATTACATGAAAATTTTATTGTTATTTTGTATAAAATTTTCTTTTATAAAATTCATCACAAAAACTATTTCATTTCCTAAAAAAAAAAATCTTTTTATTTTTTTTTTTTTATTTTTATTTTTATTTATTGGTAACAAATCTTTTTCCAAATGATTTTTCCTGATGGTCTTTGTATTTTTTTTTTAGCAATTTTTTTTCCTGAAGATCTTTGTATTTTTTTTTTTAGCAATTTTTTTTCCTGACGATCTTTGCATTTTTTTTTTACAAATTTTTTTTCCTGACGATCTTTGTATTTTTTTTTTGACAAAAAGTACAAACAAAAAAATTGATCATTTTTTTTTTTTTTTTGTGTGTGCATCACCAACTTCGTATTCTTCATTTAACTATTCATTTTATTTTCCAAAAAGGTTAATAAAGCCTTTTATTAACCATCATGAGAAGTTTATTTACTTTTATAAAATCCCTATTTTTACTAAAAATTTAAATTCTTGTTGAATAATGATTATAATTAAATATATATTTACTTATAATGTTATGAATATATTTGGCATCATAAGTCTTCTTCTTTCTAATTAAGAAACTTAATTAATGAAATACAAATTAAATTATTTAAACATTGCAAGCATGAAAATTTTATTGTTATATATGTAAAATTTTCTTGTAAAAACTTAAAATAAAAATTTACTACAATAGAATTTTTCTAGTGTCAAAAAATTATTTCTTACCTTTTGTTTACCATTATTTTTTACTTGATAATTAAATCTTTTTTCAAAAAAAAAAAAATATATTTCCTTTTTTTGTCTATTTAATTTATAAAAAAAACAAAAATTAACAAATAATTTTTATTTTTTATCTAGAGTTTTTATGGATAACTGTGTATTTTATATATTTCCATCTATTTTCATTTTAAAAAAGTCTAATAATTTCTTTTATAAACCACATGTCTAACTACTCATTTTCCGTGTAGCTAGTTATTGCATTCTCAATAAGATTAATAATCCCCTTTATAAACCAGTAATATAAGGTTTTCTTATTTCCAAGAATGATAGGTGAGTTATTTCAGACATCTTTTCTTTGATTTACTTAAACATTTTTGAATGTTCTTCAATCTATTCAAATTTTTGCTTCTTAATTAACAATGTAATTACTTTAGATGTATATCCTAGAAAGATATAAATATAATATGTATAATAATTAGAAGATTCTAAGAACAATTTCATTTGCTTTTTCGATTTAGATCGTTCTACCTCAGTGATTGTTTTTACCTTATCTAATGAAGACTATATTCCATTTTCGTCTATAATTTATCAAGGATATGTTATTGATGCTTTAAAAAGTTCACACTTTTCTATATTTATTGCAAAATTATTATTGTTAGGTAATTTGAATACTTTTTTTAACACTTATAAATATTTAAATAGTGTTTTTCTAAGAATAATGATGTCACAAGTAAATGCAACTACGTAATTCTCTTGAATTATTTCCATAAAAATATCTTTCATTATTCTTTGAAGTTGTGTGCTACTTATCTTCCGTCCAAAAGATATAACGTTAAATACGAATGTTTTTCACTTGGGAACTATAAATGTATCACAAGGTTTATTATTCTGTTTAGATGCAATATCTTAAAATTCATTTTTAGAGTCTCTTTTTAGAAAATCATTTAGTACCATAAAATGTTTGAAATATATATTTCGTGTGTGAAATGACACATAAATTATTCAGAGTAAATCTATTTAAATACATATAATCTAAAGTGACTCTCTGTTGACTTGTTTTATTTCGAACCATTATAATATGTGAGGCATAGTCTATGTTAATAACTTTAGTTATTATCTTTAATTGTGGCATTTAGTCTATCTTCCAATGTTATTACGATAATATTTCTTTACTAAGTAGTCTTGAATTATAACACAGAGGTTTTTTTTTCACTTAAACAGAAACTTTATATTTTTCAGTATGCTCTATAATTTTATTTTTTCAAGGTCATGTATGCTTCTATAATACTTAAACTCCTCTTTATCCTCCTCAATTAAATCATGTTTTTCAATAAAACTCCGAATAATCTCTTTATTAATGTTCTTTAGCTTTTCTTCTTTTTCTTTGGATGATATGAATAATGTATATATGATTGTTATTATTCTTCTTCATAGAAAATCCTAATTTATTCATCATAAAACCATTAACACAAGGGGTTTATTTGTATATATTGTAGCATATCTACTTTTGATTTTTTGTTGGTAGATTTAATATGTATAATAACCTTTTTATACATTCTTTCAATTTCTCAGTTAGATTTCCCTTTAACCTTGATTAATGGAACTATTATGTGCAGTTCTATGCATAGTTTTTTTTCTGAGAAAAGTGTTATTGTATGTAATTTTGCACTTGTATCTAATAACAAATTAGCTTATTTCCATTAATTTCTATAATTTGTTCCATATTCATACAAAATCCTTTATCACTTTTAACATTTAACATTTTATTAACAGACGATTTATTTTTTACAAAATTTGCAATATTTTCGTCAGTAATTATTTCTATTACAGGCTCTGTCTTTTTGATTGCCATATTTATTTTGTTTCTCTTTCTATTAAATTGTTTTTCATCTTCTTTAAATTTGTTTTCGTTATACCATACTTTTACTCTTTGTTTTTTCAAGTATTCCTAATGTTTACTATGATATTTTTTCATTTGACAGATTTTCTGCATATGAGTTTCATTTTTTATCATTT